GTTTAAAATGACCTGGAGCTAAGCAGACAAATAAATGCACAATAGAAATTTATAAAGCTGGGATGGGCTCGGAGATGAAAAACAAAACAGACAAGCTCTGGTTTCTGTGGTTGACCAGCCCACTGCCTGCTAGTGCCTAATGTTGTTTAAGTTACAAAAACTCTGACCATTATATGATGGGATAATAAGCTGCCTGTGGCATAGCGGCTGAACAGTTCTTAATGCGTAATGGTCTCTCCTGCATTCTCATTGAAAATGAAATGAAGGGCACCACTCTGGTGGTAATGGTGGTGGTGGAGGGAGGGAGGGACTGCCTCTCCTTCTCACGTTACCAAGCTATAGCGAAGTAGCGACATCAGCAAAGAGCCAACTGCGCCTCATGAGCCTGCCTCCTCTTCCAAATGTGATAAAACTCAGCTCAGAGGCCCATTACGCGGCGATAGAAGGAACATTTTACATCTCACTCGATTTCCTTTACGCACAGGGCCGCGGTGAGTGCGTACCAACGCAGCGGTAGATGGAGGTCACAATGGGAACAAAGCGGTGTGGCACAACTACTCCTGGTCGCTCTATTTCGTGAGTGACGGCGTCAGCTGCGGAGCTGTTAGAAGAATCTTCTCATGGGATTTGGCGGTTGTGAGGCGCCTGATCTGGAGGCAACGTGAGGAGCACACATACCTCCAGAAAACGGGGCACTACAAGGTTTTCCCTTCGTGCACCTGACAGCTGCCGAAAAGCTGACACCGCACCGGTGAGTACCGGCTGGTAAGAGAAGTCACCGGGAGAGGAGAATTTTTTTTTCATCCAAGCACAAGCAGGCAGCACCTTCAAAGCGAAACGGCTGTGGGTACGTAGCATGGGAGCGCTATGTTGTCCAGGAAAGGACTCATTCCTGAAGATTACTTGCTTACACGTTTGGCCGAGGATGTTCTGCAGCCCAAGTTCAAGGCGAAAGCGGGGAAGGCTCGGTTCGTCTCCAAGAACGGCACATGCAATGTGGCGCATACCAACATCCGAGAGCAGGGCCGATTCTTGCAGGATGTGTTTACCACGCTCGTGGATTTAAAATGGCTTCACACGCTCATCATTTTCACCATGTCGTTTCTGTGCAGCTGGCTCCTTTTTGGAATGATCTGGTGGCTCGTCGCGTTTGCGCACGGCGACTTGGACCAGAGCGGAGACGACTTTATCCCGTGCGTAACGGATATTCACTCCTTCTCCTCCGCGTTTCTGTTCTCTATAGAGGTCCAAGTGACCATCGGCTTCGGGGGCCGGATGATCACGGAGGAATGCGTCTCCGCTATCATCATTCTGATCATGCAAAACATCGTCGGGTTGGTAATCAACGCCATCATGCTTGGCTGCATCTTCATGAAAAC